AATGTGGGCCGTCTCTCTAAATTTATTGTATAAATGTATAATTTTATTTTTAATTTATTGTTTTGTAGATTCTTATTTTCTTGAAAAAGTATATATATTGAATATGGGTAAAAGTTTGGCCAAAAAAATAAGGATAAAGGTAAAAAATAATTAAATTTTAAAATAGAGTTAGTGAGATTTAAATTTTTTTTAATTTCGACAAATAAAATATGTTAAAAGTGTCTTCTGAGTAAAAATTGAAGTGTAAATTTTTTTGTCATAATATTGGTGAGATATTCTAGTTTTCTATTTTGTTCAACCAAATGCTAGCTCTTTCTTAGAGAAAATGACAGAATTGAATTTTAAAAAAAAAATAAATAAGCTATGCTGATTAATTTTATAATAATAATAACAATAATTGAAAGGGTTTAATCACTCAAAATCTATCAGAATCATCCAGTTATCATTTTAAAATTTAACAGGTATTTTTTAAAAACTTTTTTATATGTATACGACTCATTGGCTGTTGTACCTTTTTTTTGCTAACGCCTTGTGGTAACGCACTCATTTGTTTTATCGTAACGTGTTTGATTTCCACTAATGATGTGATGTTACGTCAACAAATGCTGGGAGTTTCGGGGTCGCTTTCATTTCGTAATTATAGATGTCGATGAATCTTTGATAAAACCAGGACTGGGTACTATTCTCACCCCAAAATTCTGTGATCACTTATTGGCAATTTGGCATTGAAAGGGGAAGAACCTCGGAAGACGGAAGAGACAAATATGGGCAAAGTGAAATTTTAGTAAGAGCTAATTTCAATTTTTCGTCTAAATCCCTTCTAAGGACGTCGGTAATCTCCCAGTGTTCTAGTCATTTTGGGATCTTATCTGTCATTGAATTGATTCATTGGATTCTTCCAAGTCCAAGCATCCGTCGTCAGCACTGCGCCACTCGCCACTCAGCAAGGCATTGCAGTCTCACTCACCAGTCGCTACTCAACAAGACATCCCGCTCACTTGAGTGACTTGACAAAGGCTGAGGATTCCGTGCGCGGAACAGCTCGTTGCACCGAGTGCGTCTCGCCAGGTGTCATATTTTTACCCGCTAGATTAGGTCAATGGTGCAGAATACTCCTTCTAATTCTATTTATAATTCTATTTTTTTTCAATTTGCATTTAATTATTTATTCTTTCTTCTGCCACATTCTTTTTTATCACATTTTTATATTTATTTTTTATTATTTTTCTCATTTATTATAAAAATATTATATCTGAAAACAAAAATATATTTTTAATATACTTATTATTTTAAAATAACTTCAACTAATTTTTTATTAGATATAAATTAGTTATTTAAAATTTATAATAAAGAGTAAATGCAAAAAGTTGGCTTGTCTTGTGCAGGCTCTGACTTCTCTCTCCCTCCGTTTTTTTTTTTGGCCCCATCAAACTCTGTAAAATTAAAGCATACGGTTGGGTTGGATAGAGTTTATAATCCCAGACAAAAATATTCTTGTAATAATAAAAAAAATTATGTAAACATTTTTAAGCTGAAAGTTGATAAATACTATATCTTATATTTAATATAAGAGTTAGTTGACTAATTTGAGTATATCAAGAAATTTGTTATTATGTATTGTTTTTACTGAAATACTCTCGTTAATCATGTACTACTTCTGATCATTAACATAAAAGCTTGTTTGATTATTGTTTTAGTTTTAAATATAAAATCTCAATCCATTTTGTTTGTTATATTTATTTATTTTTTTAAAGTAGTCCTTACAATAATAATAGCTGTTCTAGTCACTATACTTGATTAGCAAGAATATTTTAGAAAAAATAATACATATTTATTACAAATAACTAACATAACTAGTTTTTTTAATCTATTTAAATTAGTCAAGTATTTTTTAATTAAGGATAAAAATATTATTAACTAAAACTACTATTTAATAAAATATTTAACATGTATAACTATATAAAGACTATTTTAACAAAAATAGGTAAAATAAATTGATAAAAAATTGATTTTATATTTAAAATAAAATTAAAAATCAAACTAAGACAGGAAGTAGTGTTAGGGAGAAGTCAGAGAGCTGACCTGACGATGTTAACCGGTGGACACGGCAGGCAAATTGCATTTCATTTATTCGCCATTGTGGATCAAAACTAGCGACTAATAGTGGGACACATAGCGACGCGCCCTCAGAGCGGCATAGTACTCCTTGCACGGAATCCACATCCTTTGACCCCCAAAGGCTGTTTCGAGAATATCCATGATCTTGGCCTGCTCAGATCTAAGCAGAACCAGGCAAGTTCATAAATGCCAACCAATCATTTTTCATGTGAACGTTCAAAATATTCAATCGGTTTTTATAAGAATCTTAAATTGTGTTGATGCTAATATTTAATACATTTTTATTATTTTTGTTTCTAATTAATTTTACATATTGTATTAATTAAAAGGCTGGCAAATTGCCATACTACATTTTTATTTATGCTTTCTCTCTCTTACTTATCCCCTCATAAATAAAGTTATACTTGGTAAAAAAGTTTACTCCTTACATATTTGTTATTTTTTTACTAATTTTTACTATTTTTTAAACTATGTAACTTAATTATTAAGCTCTTATTAAAAAAAACCCAAAAGAGTACTTGTTATTTCCATTTCCTGGTGCTTGATAGACTCTCCTTCTTGCATTCACTGAGGGATTGTTTGGGTCCGTCATTTATAAGTATTTATAAGCATTTTTATATAAGTTGAGATAAAATTTTATTTATATATTTATATTATATTCTGTAAATCAAAGCAGCTTTCCAAATAAGCCTTAAGATGATGCATTTTGCCCATCAAAATAAAACACAATAAGATATATTAACATCAATCCCAAACTCAAGATCTCATTTAAGTATGACAAGTGACATTGTTAATAAGGCAACAAGCTGTTAACTGTAAATGATTTATTTTAATCACATCTTTTGTTGTTGCAGTGCATGATTATCTTGTCATAAATAAATAAATGCAAATTGAGGCATGCATCTACTCTGTCCATTCACTTAGGATCCATTTGAAATAGTTGATAAGTAAATTTTTAATAATAATTTATGAAATATAAAGTGAGTATGTAAAAAAAATTTTGTCTCAATTTATATAAAACGTATTTATAAATAATTTTTAAAACTATGCCATACAAGGCTTAATTTAACCAGCAGCCATGTTATCATGCACAGAAGGTCCTAAGTCCTATCATTCACTGGGCCTTCTTTAATTGGGCCACAAAAACATTTCCATTTACTAAAAACCAAATCCTGAATTTCCCAACACTATACATACAACATGACAAAGATTTATAACGACCTAAAAAAAACAGACAAAAACACACTAAACAGAAGATTCGATTTCAACGGAACTTAATTATATTGATCTGTACAAAACTCACCAATCAACTGATGATGACACGACATAGTCAATTTATATCTACGTTACGTTATAGTACATTTAAATGGAATTAAATTAACCAATTAAAATTCAGTAGAAAGAAGATAAATTATGTGATTGTCAAATACGGAGTTACTGCCAAATTAGATGATGTAGTTAGATCCGAGTATTTTAATTCTAATAATATTAGTTTTGTCATGGTTGTCGATTTTTGTTCAATCTATTTGTTTATTCACGGTGTCAATGGATTTAAATTTCAAATATTTAATAAAGATGAAAACTTCAACCGCATTAGTGTAACAAATTAAAATTAACTTTATGGATTTTTTTATTTGACAATCACTGCATTTTTAATTGAAAGGGTCAGTACAATTTACAAGTGGAGTAGATATTGTGAATGAGTAGTATAAGACCTTGCTTTACTTTTATTTTGATCCTAATTATAAGATCTCAATCTACTTTGTTTCTCATATTTATGTGTTTTTTTCAAAGTAGTCCCTCTAATAATAATAGTTTAAGCTAATAAAACTTAATTAGCAAGTATATTTTAGGAAAGAGAACACCTATTTATTACAAATAACTAATTTAACTTATTTTCTTAATTTCTTCAAATTAGTCAACTAGTTCTTATAATTAGGACCGGAGGTAGTATTTCCTATGTTAGAGACAAGAGATGGTTGCATATCTTACATTTACACGCATTATACGCACAATTATATGTTATACATCCATTTGATTATCTCGTAACTCTCTAGTTGGCTGCACTGATACTCACAGGGATTTTTGTTTTAAAAAAACTAAAACCAGAAAAGAATGAAAAGAAAAGCGAGAGAAGGAAGAATCTGAAAATTCGAGATTCAGAGGAGAGGACAGTTGAAAGGTAAAGTGATTAGCTAGGCTATGTGGATCCCAACTATGCTTAGCTTATTACTCCTTCCCTTTTAAATATAAAACCTATTTTATAGTGTAAATTATATTACAAAACAGGTCTTACTTTGAGAATCAGAGAGAGTATTATATATAGCATCATATGCTTTTATTTTGTGGACAACAAAATGGATTGAAAGCGAAGGGCATATTAGAAAAAGTGAAATATTACAACAGTAAAGCTGAGACTACCTGAGAGAAGTATATGCGGGCCAAAATATACCAAACTTGCTGCTTGGTTCATTATCTTATCTGCGCTATCCATATATTTACAACGTTTCTATTCTCTTTTTCTCTTTTCATTCTTATTGTAAGCTTCCTTTTCTTTTTTATTCATTACTACTCTGATCTATTCATGTGAAAACGATGTGAATGAAATAGTTGAGAGTGAGATTAGAATTGACGTGTAAAGAATGAGTACATGACAGATACTCAAAAGGAACATATATATGTACAGATTGTCCCCTTGAATCCTTACTTGGTTAATAAGCATGATGAACAGATCAAAAGTAGGGTCCCGGATCGTTCCAAAGGAAAAGAAAAGCTAAGTTGGACCCGTCAAACCCAATCATTTCAAATTCTCAATCCTATAATTGCTTTGCCCTTTGCGCAGACTTGAAGCTGCCTTGGAGTGGGAGCTGAGCTTCAAAATTCTGAACATAAACTCTTCTTTTCTCAGTAGTGTCGTTAATCATAGGCCTTGTTTCTGTGAAAAGCACGAGGTTTTGTTTGTCTGTCTCTCCAACTAACCCTCAATTCGAAACCCAAGACACATCTCTGCTTTATTATCTGTTGGGTTTCTGGTTTCTTGATTCTATATATATAATACACAGACCCTATCACCCTGTTGTGTCTCAAAACTCCGAATCATTATTGCTTCTCCACGTTATAGCTGCTCATCTTTCGCTGTGATCTGTCGCTGGACTCTCAAGTTTTCATGGAGGTAAGTACATTGCTTCAAACTAGATGAGGTTGTCCAGCATGTTTTCAGTTTTAACATAGAATTCATCAAAAGGGGGCATCATCATGATGATGATGTGATGATTTGTATTTACAGAGCGTGGAGTTGAAGGTAGAGATGGTGGGGATCCATGAGAAAAGACTGAGGAAATGCCTGTCAAAATTAAAAGGTTCGGTATATGAATACTCTCTGAAATTTTTTTTAAGTTGTGTGATGTCTATGTTACTTACCTCAGATTTCATACAAATTTAAGAACGGAGTTAATGAGGATTAGTGAATATATTGGAGATGCAGGGATAGAGAAAGTGGAAGTGGATGGGAAGAGACAGAAAGTGGTGGTGACAGGATATGCACACAAGAACAAAATTCTGAAGGCAGTGAGGAGAGGAGGCCTCAAAGCTGATTTCTGGTCTGCTCAGAACGATCTTCTTGACGCTTATACTTGTGCTTCTTATGCTTCTTCCTTCTCTTTTCACTCCTTCAACTTCTTCTAGCTTTTTCCTTTCCTTTTCAACCAATTTCATTTATTCTCTTTTTTGTCCGGGATGGTTATATGTTGTTACTCTTTAGTTATAGCAATCACATGTACTTTTTAGCCTCAGAGAAAAAAATCTTACATGTACTTCAATACAACAGATTGCGATCAATACACAGTTTTATTTCCAGCCTTGCTGCACTCATTACTCGTTACAGAAGCCCCTGTAAAGACAGTTCTTTTCTTTCTTTCTTTCTTTCTTTTATTTGAGATCTTGAACCCGTTTCGTTGCTAGAGTCAAGACTTGAAAAAAATGGGAATGATGTGTTCATTCTGTCATAATATATTAATTGCACATTTATCTTGGTGTCATCCTTCCCATGAGAAAGTTCAATACTATAAATGTAGGAATTAACACAGTGATGGAAAAAATCAAGAATCATTATTTGATATATATATATATATAAACTTTCATTTGGAATGCATATTCCAGAATTCAAGGCCTTGTTTGGTATAGTTAACAGTATGGTTTATATTTTTCCTTATTAGCTCTTTTATTTAGAAGTATAAAAGACATTTCACGTTTACAAGATATTTTCTTCTTCTTTTTTTTTTTTTTTACTATTTTGTCTTTCCTCCACATGTTAAACTAATATTAGGCAATTAATGAGAACTGAGTTTAGTAGAAAAGTCCAGTCTCTCACAGTATATAGTGAACTAATGCTTAGATTCCTAATAAAAGAGGTACCACGTTTAGTGCTTAATAATGCTTCAAATAAGATTGTCTCCTAGGAAAAAGAAAACCTAAGGTCAAACCAACAAAAAAATTATCCAAAAATTCAAGCAAACATGAACCACCCTGCCGGCTGACCGAGTCCCAAAAAAAAAAAAAGCCATTTCATCAACACAAATGAATCCGAAGATTATTGGATCTGGCGATGCAATGATCCAGAAGATCATACATTCAAAGCCCCTATGCGGTAGTTGAACCGAAACAAAAAGAACAAGTGTTTCTCTATGTAGTTGATTTTGTAAATATTCTCAAGAGAATACTTCCTTTATCTTAAATATAGAAATTAATTGAAATGTTTACTTTGGTATATTAAATATAAGACTTCTATGTGCTTATCTTTTAAATTTATAAATTTTTTCACAACCAACGCTACTAATGACAAACATAAAAATCCTGGCAAGAAATTTCAAATATAAAAATGTTTTGGGCAAAGGAATAAATGAATAATGATTAAAAAAAAACTCTTCTGATCCTAAATATACATTTTTTTTTTGTAATATACAAAAAAATTTTATATTTAAAATGGGAAGAATATTTTTTTTAAAATTTGTCCAACTGGAGTTGGTAAGAGTTAGTGACTAGAAATGAAAAAATGCCATCGTTCGATCGGAAAACCGTTTGGACGCGCGCGGAATTGGTTTTCCTAATTACCAAGAGAGATAATTTGGGGGGCCGCGGGGGCTATACTTTTGATGGGCTGACGAGGCGAGGGAATTCCGAAATTCCAAAGGCGACTCTGAATCTGAAAGGGGAAAAGAAAAGAGAAGAGATCGGAAAGAGAAAGATGCACTTAAGCGAGAATGAAGGCATAGAGGACAACACGTTCGTAGTTACCGGTGGACTCGGATTTGTCGGCTCTGCTCTATGCTTGGAGCTTGTTCGCAGAGGTGCTCACCAGGTCCGAGCCTTTGATCTTCGACCCTCTTCTCCTTGGTCCAATCTTCTCAATCGCAAAGGCGTTCTCTGCGTTCAAGGTTCCTCTTCTTTCTTCTTTACTTATCCTCCCTGATTCCATTCCCATTCTTATGCTTCTCTTAGGGTTTCGATTTCTCTTTTTAGTTTATTCCTTTTTCATCTTTCTTTTCATTCACGCACTTGATCATGAGTCATAATTTGCCGTTTTTCTCTCTGTTTATGACAATGTATTATTCCATTTCCTGTTTGGATGGTTGCATTTACATCATTGTTATGTCAATATCTTTTGACCTCTCGTGATAAGCACTATCCTCTATGCATTCACTTCTGCCGCCCTCTAGTCATTGCATGTAAAACATATATAATATATTTAATCATATATGTAATTAATTAAGTAGTTTATTGGACGATCAGGGGATGTTACCCGAAAAGAAGATGTTGAAAGTGTCCTGCGTGGGGCGGATTGTGTTTTCCACCTGGCCTCCTTCGGTATGTCTGGGAAAGAGATGCTGCAATTTGGTCGTGTTGACGAGGTCAATATCAACGGGACTTGCCACATTTTGGACGCTTGTGTTCTCCATGGCATCAAAAGGCTTGTCTATGTTAGCACATACAATGTTGTCTTTGGCGGTAAGGAGATTATCAACGGAAACGAGACTTTGCCTTATTTCCCAATCGATGACCATGTTGATCCATATGGGCGCAGTAAATCAATAGCTGAACAGTTGGTTCTAAAGAACAATGGCCGCCCTTTTAGGTAAGTTTTTGCCACCAGTTCTGAGCTTGTGTACGAATGCAGCAGGATCACTTTCTACCTAAATAACTTGTACTTAAAAAGAATGATTGAAAAAACTTGCTGCCAGTAAGTTTTTGCTACTAGTATTGTGTCTGCTGTCATGAATTTTGATGCTGCAGTAGTCATAATCTTTTCTGGCACTGACAAATTGAAAGATGATTTTGGCCATTGTCTTCAATTCCTTCCAACTGGTGGCTATCAATATCATATTATTGACCGAGTTGCATAACTTTTTAATTTTGTAAAGGAATGGGAATGGGAGTTTTTACACCTGCGCCGTGCGTCCAGCTGCAATCTATGGGCCAGGTGAAGAAAGGCACCTTCCAAGGATCATAACCATGGCAAAGTTGGGTCTGTTGCTATTCAGAATCGGCGACCATAGTGTCAAGTCAGATTGGGTTTATGTGGACAATCTGGTACTTGCTCTTATACTGGCAAGTATGGGACTTTTAGATGATATTCCTAGAAAAGGAAAGCACCCTATCGCTGCTGGCCAGTCATACTTTGTATCTGATGGTAATAATTTCTTTATTCACTGTGTCTATTGACAGTACGCTGGAAATTTAAGAAACGTTAGTTGACACTTCTTTGTACAGGTTCTCCGGTTAATACTTTTGAATTCATTCAACCTCTTGTTAGAAGCTTGGGCTATGAACTACCAAAGACTTCCTTATCTGTGGATCACGCTCTTTTGCTTGCAAGGTTTTTCTGGGGACTCTATACAATCTTATACCCGTGGCTGAACCTGCGGTGGCTTCCTCAGCCACTTATCCTTCCGTCTGAAGTACACAAGGTCGGTCTCCTAATTTTTTTTTGCTATATAGATGGGACTTGTAGCCTTTTCATTCTCTTCTTGGTTTGCATCTCTCCTGTAAACGTTGTCAGGAGCTTTTATAAATGTGGATGAAGATGCGCAGAATCATGATTTGCAAATTATGATTTACATCATTTCATGATTTCAAGTTCTACGTTACTTAAACTTTCGTGTTGTGTTTTGACAGGTGGGGGTTACCCATTATTTCTCCTACCTTAAAGCCAAGGAGGAAATTGGTTATGTTCCCATGGTTACTCCTCGAGAGGGGATGGCTTCAACCGTATCATACTGGCAAGAGAGGAAAAAGATATGGCTAGATGGGCCAACAATCTACACATGGCTATTTGTTGTCCTTGGAATGATCTCACTATTCTGTGCTGTGTGCTTGCCCGACGTAGGATTTGTGCCACATCTCAGATCCCTCACCGTTTTCATATTGCGCTCAATGTGGTGCGCCAAGCTGGTGTTTTATCTAGCCGTAGCTGCGCATGTTTTTGAGGCCTTTTATGCTTGGAACCTGGCCAAAAGGGTGGACCCTGCAAATGCAAAGGGTTGGTTCTGGCAGACTTTAGCCCTTGGGTTCTTTTCGTTGCGTTTTCTGTTGAAGAAAGCAAGGAAATAACCTTTGAGTTCTACTTTTCGTTGCGTTTTCTGTTGGATAAAACAAGGAAATAAGCTCGGACATCCTTATATGCCCTCACTGATAAATTCTTACTGCAGGTAATACACTAGGCCGGTAAGGCCCAGCCCTTTTTTTGACGGGTTTGGGATGACAAAATGCCAACCCGCTATCTAGAGCACTTTGCTACAGGCTAACCCCCGGGTTGGGGAAATAGCCCACTTTTTTCTTTTAAAAAAAATAATTTTCATGTATTTCCCAATATAACATAGTTAGAGGATTTTGTCTTTCAAATTTTACGTGCACATTGTCCCATTCATGTAATTATATATATAATTAAACACTATATATATGTAGTTTAAAGAGTATTGTTTATCTTTTATTTTTTATCTATTTGTTCTTTTATATATACACGTTTTATCTATTTGTTGCTTTATTATATGCACGTTTTATTTTGTAAAATTAAATAAATATGTGATACTTATATATATAATCTACTTAATTTGGATAAAAAAATTAGTTAAATTAATTATTTATAAAAAATGTTTTTTTTGAAAATAATAAATTAATTTTTATATTAATTTATTATAACTTACCGTTCAAGTTTAAGACTCTGAGTCTAATTTTAATATTTTTAAACTAAGCCAAATCGATACTAATAATAATAGTTTTATCATTAAAAAAAAAATTAGTTGGGCCATCAGGCGCGGATTGGCAAGCTATTTCAACTTGCACAACAGTGGGTTGGCTTATACTGTTTTACCTGTTCTAATACGCTTCCCGTTGATCCTTCTCTCACCCGGCCGGCACCCGTGATCAAGGGAAAGCATTGTAACACTTCCCCCCCTCCCCACCCAAAAAAAAACATATATGAACAAAAAGAAAGGCTGAAAACACGAAGGAAATTCAAGCCTTTTCATTCAAAATAGGATGGGTTGCATCTCTTTTTGCAATTTTAGTTTTATCAAGTGTGCTCCATGCATGAAGACGCATTGATAAGTTCATCCCACTCTATTTTAGCATTTTAATTTTTAAATACACAATTTGATTAAATAAAAAAAATAATTAGGATTTAATATAATTAAAAAAATCAGTCAATATAATCTACATTTTATTTTGAATTTTTATTAATTTTTAATACAATTTATTGTTTATTCATGTTAATATTTTCATAAAACATTTATTTAAATATTAACATGTTTTTTAAATTTTTTTTAAATGGGAGGTATTAAGAGTAAAACAATAATTTTAAAATTTTAAATTTAATTTTAATAAAATTAAGTATTTTGTGCTCCTACTTGGATTGCTCTGCTTCAAGTCAAAGTGAAGAGGTTTGTTGGTGACATTCTAATATTATCTCTGGCATCCTTGCAGTATGTGGAAAAAAAAAACCACTTTTACTCACTTTCTGAGACCCTTTTTCAAAATAAAAGATCAAGATCCTGGTAGATTCCTCTGAAGGATATCCAAATTATAAGTGAATGTTATTGAGAGAGACTTATCTGAACTATTCAAATCTATGTTGCCAGCTACAATTATATACTGCTGAGGGAATAAAAATCAAATGAGTGCAACCCCCAAGCAAACGCTCAGGATAGCTGAGGAAAAAAAAAAAAAACCTAAAATGGGCAAGAAACTCCATGACACTTCACTCGGCATCCTGTCAGTTAGAACTCTTCACGAGTTGGTATCAAAGTGATAGGACAAGCAGAAAACAAGCCAGATATTGAAGCAAATTCATCGTGTAACCTCTATTACGTACGGAAATACTAATCACAATCTGGGTTTCAAGAGATCAGGACCTTTCCTCACTTTTCTAAAAACATTTCTTACCTCACCCAGCATTCTTTCAAAATCTTAACGCACTGTCACCACACTAGGGCTGTCAAAATTCGTTACCCCTCTGCTCTTTACCATTATGCCCTTTATGGGTTGGGCCCTTGCTCTCATCCAGAGTTGATCCAGGTTTGGTTTGGTGGGCCTCTTGGCATGGTCTTTTCTCTTGTACTTTTGGCCCCAAAACCTTGCAGTCTCATCAGAAACTGAGACTAGTCATCAACCTTTGTTAATATTGGTTCTATTTGGCAGAGCGTCCAAGGGGTCAAAAGTTACTTATTTTTTCTCATAAGCATGTTTGAAATTTTAGCACTTGTTTGGTTGAGTTTTTGGCCCATCCTACTTTTGGGTTAAAAGTTAGATCCAAAAGCAATGCTACTTATAACTTATTCACCGTGCTTAAAGTTGTTTGGGGGAGGACTGTTAAACCATTGATTATATTGGCATAAAATGTTCTCTCTCTCTCTCATCCCTTATTACCTTCCATTTGCTTGTTCAAAAGGCTTCTTTGCTCTCTTTCTCTTCCTTTCTCTTCTCCGCTCCCCCGTTGGAAAGCACAAGTCCATCGCCTCTCCGCCATCTACTCTGTCCGGTGTTGAGTGTGGGCGACTTCATCTCCTTCTTGCTCCATCTACTCCTCTCATCTTCGCTTTCAAATATGTCGCCACTATTGCCAAGTGGTGGTTGCCGTCTCCAAGTTGTGGCACAACTGTCCCATCTGTGCATGTGAGTTGTGCGTGGATATCTTGGTCTCCCATGGTATTACTTTGTCCAATCAACTTCTCTGAGCCTTCATAGTCGCAGATTGGTCACAAGGTTGTAGAATTTTTTTTTCTTTTTGTTTTTCTGTTGGAGTGCCTGAACTTGTAATATGATCTGATTCTTCTTTGGGTGGGGAGCTGTTTGTGTTGTTGATACGTGTCTTTGGCTGATTTCTTCAGTGTTTTTGGTCCTCTGTTGTTCTTGGTATTGTTCTTTAGTATAGGTCCCCCATCTGGTCGTAGTTAATCAATCTTACCCATTTATCATGATGCTTTTGCCTTTGAAATGGATTATAGGATAGTTATTGATTGATGGCTGTTGATTCTAAACAACCCATTTTGTAATTTGTGTCCGATCTCCCCTGTTTCGATCGTAGAAATTGAAGAATGACTTGCTTCATATGTATTGTACTATATGCATGTGTGTGTTGCCTTATGATCTCCTTAAATTTTTTGGCCAACTGACCAGCCATTCATTGGATAGAATTAGGATCTTGAACTTGAATTGTCGAGTATCATTTTTGTGCAGATTATCTGTTTGAGATTGAGTCTAGCTGAGCTGAAAACCTTGAACCAAGTCTATGTGCTGACAAATATAATAATCTTAGGACTTATTTTTTGTAATTATTAGGAGAGAACTTGCTCCAACATCATTTTGTGCTTCCTGTAATGTACGCGATAGTTGCTCGCGAAACATATCAAACCATGCTATTCTCTTGTCTTTTTGGATCATGACGCTCTCGTAAATTCTTTCCACAAGAAAGTACCCCCAAAGAAGACTCTTACCTTTCCCGTCAACAATTTCCACTCTTCTGTCCTTGTGAAAGGGTGATTCCATACCATAATCCATCTATGTGCCGATAAATTACATTTAGCCATACTAACCTGAAAGCACCACCCACTATGAGTGTGTATCATCTGTCTGCAACTTAGATGTGTATAGCTGACGTTTGGAACTTTAACTTTAATAATTCATTTTTTTATTGGTGTAGTTGTCCACATGCATATATAATTTATGATAATATATGTTTTTCAGTTACTATAAGTTTATTTAATCGATGACTTTGCATCAAAGTTTTAGTCTCAATCTAATTTTGCAATGCTACCTCTGAATCTTAATCATACTCTTCATTTAGATTTTTTTAATACCCTTATATTATTAGAATATTTAAATAGTTGTCGTCTTCGCATTGTGTTTAAGGATATTGTCTCACCATATGAGGTAAATTTATTGTTATAGTAATCTTCTAAGATTAATTTCCTTAGTTGAGTAAAAGCTAAAGGTTAATTGACAGTATACTAATCTTCTGCTGACTAAACCTCTTGTTTTAGATGTTATGATGAGTACTCTGATGTGGGAATTTTATGTGACTTTTTTTTTTTTTGGTGTTTTCTTTGCTTGAATTAGTCTTATCTCTATAGAAGGAAAAGCAACATGGTATGCCCATACCATTAAAATTTTTATTGACGCCTATGTAGACCAAATATTGAAGAAAGAATGACAAGGAATATAATTCACAAAGCCTGGTTGAAACAATATTCATATTTAATGAAAGAAGTAGGAAACATTATGACAAAAAAACAACTCAAAAATAGATTTGATATGTCGAGAAATGATTGGAAGTTATGAAAATCATTGATATCTGGAGAGACTAGTATGGGGTGTATAATATTGTCACAAATACTATGGTGGTCATGAAAATTACAGGTAACCATTTGTGTTCCTTGAGTTTTAAATTATAATATTAGTTTAATCTGTGGATGTAGGAGAACCCAAATTTTAAGAAGTTTAGACAACAAGGGTTGATTTTTGCATCTGACTTGATGAAAATGTTCAAAAATGTCTTTGACATTGGGGGATCATATGTATGCACTATTTACCACACTGCCTAAGCCATCACCTGTTACACAGCCAGACACACAAGGGGAGGACAATGTTTATCGACCCATTATGAAGCAAGCCAGGACTAACCAATGGCTTGGCTGCTTGTAACTTAAATGACCCTGTAGCTAGTGGTACTCATATACAATGTGGTCCTAGCTGCAAAGCGAGAAAAATCATTGGCAGAAACGAAATTCCATCACAAAAAGTCACAGCTGTATATGACTAGGATATTGTTTTACTTTTGTGTTGATAGGATGAGAACGATCTGCACATGATGCTTATGTGTTTGACACTAGTATTAAAACTTCGCCTCTAAATCTTCACCTCCGGATATATATCTATAACCTTTAATTTAGCTAATTTTTAATAATTTTATATTTTAATTCATTTCACAACATGACAATAAGATTTCATGAATCATTAAGAAAATATTACTTGGTAAATACGAGAGATCCAACGCCAAATGAATATCCTAGTCTATACCAATTTGAATGCTATCACTTTTTAGACTTTCAACGACAAGTGAAATTTTGAAATAATAATGAAATCTTGGATTATTATCATTCCAATTTAAGGTGCACAATAAAAAAAAATATTTGGGATTTAGAAGAATAGATTTCAAATCTTATGAAATATACATAGTTATGTGTTCCAAACACAAGTCTATTTAATTTGTCTAATAATGATCATTCATAACCTTGTAAAAATAAATTCAAGCTCTGATAACTATTTTCTAAAAGCTGAAAATGATACTATGATTGAGGAAGATGATCACACTAAAATCGATCAAGCATCATCTTCAAATATAAAACCATAGTTTTCATCGCATATGAATTGCATCTGGAACACAATTAAAGACTAAATTGTCCATAACTTATTAATGAATTAATTTTGTAATATCATTTCATTCAACCTTGTCATAGTACAATGAATTCTAATTTAAACATATTTTATCCATTAAATATGACATTTCCCTATTATGCTATTTTAACTTTATAATTTTACATCATTCATCATTTTAATTCTCATATTATGCACACATAATATATACACAAATAATTTTGAATTTTTCAAAATTCTTTATATTTACAAAAAAAAAAGATTATGATACCTCTAATTTTTAAAATACATTTCAGTCATTAAATTTCATTTCTTCTATTAAATCATTTACATTCATTTCTGATCATTTTTCATTATGTAATGAAAGTCATACCTATTTTTATAATTTTACAAACTAAAATTATTTTTATTCAACCATAATCTAAATAATTTTTTACCCAATCTAATTTTTACAAATTGACTCTTACAAAATCCAATTCAAGCATAAATCACATTACCCAATTTAACTTTTACTCAATCTAACTGTTCCAAAAGTCATTCAAAATAAACTACTTTTTCTACCGCTAACCCCCCTCCACATGCTCTCCAGTTTTTGGCGTTGACCGTTTATTAAATAGAAGAGTAAGCTTATCAGCGTAAAGCATATTCTTCATTTGATCCAGCTGTTGGCATTCTTTCTCCAACAGCAAGTCTAAATCTTCAAAACGAACAAGCTTGTCATGGATATTCTTCATCTGCAGAATATCCAATATTTAGTAGAGAATTCTCAACTTGCATAAACACAATCACCATAAACCTTCATATCATTTACCTGTCTGCACAAACTCAGACATGGATTAATAAACAATGTAAGTGTACAAATACATACGAACCTGAACATCTATAATGACAGAAATTGCTTTTTCCAAATCCGAGTCCTCCTTCTCAAGCTGTGCGTTTCCTTGCAACCGAGCCCATTCAAACGAATCAGATGCACTGCCTCCATTAACTGCCTTATCAGAATCTACACAAAAATAACCCACCATTTTCCGCAAAATTAGTTTGCAGGATTACATTCCCCACTTTCTGTGACAAGCGCAACATAGAATGCTACCACATGATTAAGTGCACCGTGTAAGGGTTTGGAAAAGATCAGCTGAACAACACCTTTTAGAAATAAGCCCTTTGTAAATTGAAGGATAAAATTCCAGATAAACATCATCTATACTGATGGCAGTAACATTATTTTCAAACCTCATAATCTTCAGCCTTGATATTTATCATTCTCACCTTGCAATAACATATTCCTTGGAAATGACTGATATTTTATTCTAGCTGCTTTGTAAACCTCAGACAGAGTTCTCACTGCAGCTTGAGCAGCAGCCTGTGCAACCTCTGCCCCCACTAAAGCAGACAGGAAAGCAGCCTGCAAGAATTTTAAATGTACAACTGTTATTGTTGAACATAAAGCAATTCTTTTTCATAAAGATTTCTTTGATCATAAACAAGTGGAATTAATATTTAGAGATCATTCTTCGAGGTCACAAAACCTGTTAGATACTTAACCATAACCCTCTTTCTCCAATTACAGCACTCAGCAGTAAAACTAAGGAGGCTGATACTACGTCTATCATTCTATGAATTAGTATTTTGAGATTATATCCCAAGTTGAGCGCTCACAATTAGACATGAACGCAACAGGGACATCAGCTCAACCACCAAGTAAGCTCTCTTTCATGGTGCATATTCCAACATCTAATTTATATTATTCAAAAGTCTTCAATGAAAACTAGTTTCCGCAGACAAAATTGATCTACAACCACATAAAGTTATTTAAAAAGTCACAGCTACAAAGACCCATTCTGAGTCCCTGTGGGTACCATGTACAACCAACCTCTTCCCTCTCTCTCCCAGCCGGGGAATGTCATATCATTATTGGCCACTCCTATATTGAGCTCTTAAGGATTTCAAATGTACTGGCAAGCACTAGCAATTCTCAAATGTCAAACATTTCCTCCCAAATTATACATGAAACATAAAGGACAAATGTCCAACTCTTTTCTTAATTTGGTATTTTGACAAAACAAGCCAGCGTCAACATACCATAGGTCCTATCTGAATCTCAATTTTCATGTTTTTTACATAAACTCAGCAATTGCCTCAGAAATTTAACTCTGCCCAGAACCAGAAAAAGTACCTGTGCCATTATAGGGTTGCTTGCATCTGCAAGAGGTGTTAGACGCAATCTTTTACTTGGTTCTGCTGCACCAATATTCTCCAGTCCACTGTCAGCATCCACATGTTCCTTTAATTGATTACCATTGTCATCACTAACAGCGGAATATTGATAATTTAGAAACTCCTCCCCAAATGGAAGCTTGATAAAATGGGCAATACAGTCCTTCTCAGTCCGACCACCAACATGCTGAGCAACCCTCCGCCAGTCATCACCATAATGCATAATGGCTTCCAGAAGATGCAAAGTTTCCTTGTCTGTCCAATCCGTCTTGGTCTCTTCACTGATCTCAACTCGCCTGAAATCTGAAGAGCTCACACCAACTCGATAATTGCCACGGACATAGCATCTTGCACAGAGATTCAAATCATACTGGGGAACAATAGAGAGAGCATGAAAATTAATGGTTGTCCATTGCTAGAGCTTAGATCAAGAACTATGAACCATTGAAGCATCAACAGAGGAGTAAACTATGAACAGGTATCATCACAAAGAGACAAATAAGAGAAAACGGATTGGGAACATTATCATCAGTCCATGATAATTTTTTCCTGCCTAATCGAAGAGCTGACAACCTTGGAGACACATGACATCAGAGAAGATTATCAAGTCTGATTGCACATGAATTTCTGCTGACAGAAAAGAGTAATAGGTAACCAAAGGATGATGTACAGTTGTATTGTTCCCTTCAACCATACATATGCAACTACTCAGAAACTTGCATTCAGAACCCGAGAAGAAATCGAGAAATTTTGCAATAAGCATCGCAGTAACATGCAAGAAATTTAAATTACGATTCTGCAGGTTCAAAATAACTTGAATTATCACCTTATCGCAAGCAAAGCAAGCAATGGTACAGACAGCTTTGCAACCACTGCAGACTCTCCGGGAAGTCTCTCGGATTGGAGTTGATGATTCGTTAGAATTAGATCCAGCTTCGGGCTTGGTCTCCTTGTCTTCCCACTTCAGGGGCTTTGTCAAAGCCGAGGACGGTTGGTAATTGATCAAGCCCCATGCCTCCAGGAAATCAAAGATCCTACGGATGGAACCAACATCCCCCACAAGAGTTTTCCTGACATCGGTGAAGGTAATCTTTCTAGTAGGATTATCTCTGAAATGCTTGACAATGGAATTCCTGTAGTACTTGTAAACCCTAGGATTCTTGGAGGGCGAAGCAGAATCGAAAAACTCGGGGAGATGCCGAACCTCGCATTCGTGTATGCCATTCCATGAAAACCACCCTGTGGCACAGGAAAATTATAAACCCATAAGCAATCTCTTAACGTAATCACAGAAAATAAAAATATAATTTAGGAGTTCCCCATAAGATATGAAAGAGGAGCTTAACTGGAGTGGCTGGGAACATGGATTACGTTAACCTCGGGAGAGGCCGGAACCGACGCCGAGGCAGTTCGGCTGCCGTCTCTGCATTCGGTGAACGAGGCCTCTGACGGAACTTGTTTAGTCGGGGGCGTCTCAACATTATCAGCTGGTGGTGGTGGCGGCTTCGTCGCCATGTTACGACCGTAAGGAAGGGGTCCCTCTATATGGCTCTACCCTGATATTCATCCAACCGTCCGCGATGCGCTATGAATAAAATGAAATAAAGACGAATTTATTTGTCTTTAACGCATCTGCTTAAAATTAAAAATTAAAAATTTTAAAATATTATACCTGCTTTTTAAATAAACTATGATAAAATATATTAAAAAAAAAGTTAATAGAGTTCAACAAAATATGTCTTAAAAGATCAATAATATAACAAGGTTGATAAAAAAAATATACAAAATCCAAAAACTGCCAATTAGTACAAATTTCATATTTATTTTGATATTACTTTCTAGTTTAAATTATAATAAAGTATATAGCAAAGAAATGTATTATAAAAATTGCATGAAATAGAAAATTACTATTGTGACCTATAAATAATACAAACTTCTACAAATCTTGCATTTTATATCGAACTGGAGTCAGAATGCAAGCCTATAACTTGCACAATATTATGCAACGAACTAAAATGCAGTAGTGTTAAAAAAAAGAACTACTACCTCCATTTTTTATTATAAAAACTTATTTAATTTTTAATTTCGTTCTAAATATAAAATTCCAATTCATTTCGTTTTTTGTATATATAAATATTTTAAAATAGTTCTTATAATAGTTACACATGTCAAATATTTCATCAAATGATAATTTAACTAATATACATGATTAGTAAGGATATTTAAAAAAAACAACATTTATTTACAACAAATATAACTTAATTAATTTTTTTAATCCTCTCAAATTAGTCAACTAAATCTTATATTAAAAACATGAGATAGTATAATACAACAATATAATTATAAAAATTTTATTTGGCCGACACTACAATGGTACACTTAAATAATTAATTTTATTACCCAACTTAAATATAACCTTTTTCGCCTGAATTAAAATGCAACCTAAATATAAAAAAATTAAACCAATCACTTAAATAATTAAATGCAAACACAAAAATCACTCAAGTAAAAAGTAATTGAAGAAAAAGTCAGGATTCCTGTGATTCTTCAATTATTTTACACGATTATTGGCATAAAATAATACTCGTACAACTGAATTTCCCGACTTCAATAATACACACACAGTCTAATTTTAATAATTTAACACCAGAGGACTCTTTCACGAAATGCTCACCAATATTCATTACAAAATTAATGCATATTCCAAATCATATTTGCCCAAACCACGTGTGAAAATGTCCTTTTATCAAATCGGCAAAGACACCGGACCCCCTTTCCTGCACCTTTATGGTCTGAACCTAGCTTTGAAAACTAGGCGCCCAACTACCACACCTGCATGAGAAACAACATCAATCTTTTCTAATGAAAAATCCCAATTATACTACCCTAAGTTCAAGGCAGATTCTTACAAATATAAAATTACACCCCAAACTTCTGGTAGACACTCTGTGAACTACTATACACAAAAATCGTATTCAGTGAAATTGACCGTCCATTATCACACAATTCATAAACATGGACAACTATCTACAAACTCAACACAGGACAAGACTGAAAAATAATCATATTTCTACATGGCTACCGGAAACCTATCCCAGCACCCATTGATCCAATACTACTGCCACTCTTCCTGAGCGCTAGTAGCACGGGGTATAAATACATTATATAAATGTCCAAATGGAAATGCGGCCTGCATCTTCCAGTTTCCTTCTGCGCCATCTGGAGCACCTCCGACCCAACTTGATGGTGAGCATGACTAAATATAACCTGCACAATAAGATTCAGTAAGAGCTAAAGCTTATAACAAATTTATAGAACATATAATCCACTTTTGACAATCTTGAACTATAAGTATCAAGCATTCAGTAGTTGGAATTCAGAAATAATGGAACTCCCACCACCTAATTTATTATGTTTTTCCCCTAAAAAACAAAAAATACCAAGGCAGATAAGTTTGCCGTTTGCCTTTAATTTGTAAAAGACAGAAAATGAACCAACTGTACCTCTAGAATGCAATATATATAACTTGCAAGGCTAGATTCGAAGCCCGCCACACATGTAGCAGATCCACTGCTCTTAGTCCTGCTGCAAACTAAGGATACCTACAACAAGTAACAATCTGAACATAACCTCATTCCAAAAGTGAGAACAGCAATAAAGATGCAAGTTAAAGAACCCACCTTAATCGCCCCCTCACCCAGCTGCTTGGTCAGGACCAGTGCCTTGCATAAACTGAGAAGGCGCAGGGACAATAAATTGTGGTTGTCCTGGCATTGGTGCAGCAATTCCTGGAAAAACAAAAATGTTTACCAATCACATTGATCTGCAATGCACTTGACTTTTGAACTGTTTATCATCAATGATAAAAAGATGGGAGCAAAGAGCACTTGACTGCCTATTTCTTGACAGCTATAACAATTATCAGTCAACCTTCACACATTTAAGAGCTCAACAATCTGAAACTCTATCATAAAAGACTCCTACATTCCAATTTTTATCAGAAGATTACTATATCCTTGCTCTGACACGATCACCTGGGTCTGGTTACTAACACTATCTAACTTACCAATGCTTTAATTTGTTCAACCGTCCATGGGATGACATAACAGCAGTTTAAAACCTAAATTTCTCACATATTACTACTAGTTTAAACATACTATAATCAGCATATTCCTCATCAAAAAATCCACCATGTAATGCATTCAATAAGGATACGAAAAATCAAAATAGCAGGAATTAAAGTGAGCGACATGAAAGTAACATCCAGAATCATATAGCAACAGAAACATAAGGCCTAATTCACAGAAGTCTTCGAGTCAGACATGTATACCACTGGGATATGGTACTTGAATGGTAGGCATAGGTGAAGTAGTCAGGGTATTAACATTGGTTCCACCATAAGGTACAATGTGATGACCAGTTACAGGATAGCCCTGCATTCCTGCATAACCATGACTACTGGGAATAGCTTGACCTAACTGCCCATAAGGATAAATAGTATTATTCACTGCACCAGGCACTCCATATATCTGAAGATACTGTTGGCCCAAATATGGGTTGTACAAACCCTATTAGAAAAGATTTCAAACGCAGGAAAGTCAGCAACACAGTAACAACAATAAGAATCCTCCCTAAGGCTGGTAAAACGAAAAAAAGAAAGACAGACCTGTGGATATACAAATTCAGGTCCATAAGTCGTATACCTGCAAAAAATAAAAGAACTATAATGTTGAAAAGATCGCCTTCAAAGCATGATCATGATGCAATGCATTCTGATGCAGATTGCAAATGCACGTAGAAGCAACTCAGATATATAAAGATAAGGTAAATAAACAATTATTTCACTCGAGGCTGATGTTTTCAAGTGACAATAGACAACTTATTACCCAATCTCTCCAAATTTTCCTGTCTATTATTACATTTTCCTCTCTATCATTACCCTTTCTTGCTCAATAATAATGTGCTGCAGTATACATCTCCTGCAACTATCAAATTATACATTCCTGCAATTTCCGACCAGAACACGTCACATTACTGTACTTTGACCAGGTCCACCAACTTCCGGAATCACTAAATATTAATAGTGTACACAGATCTTAATGACGCTACATGTCGTGATTCGTTTGTGAGGTTGTCCCATAAGAGAAAAATGAGGGCAAACAAGTTTTTGCGGAATATATGATCAGTTAACCTTAGGGGCCATCATCATATAGTAGCCAGCCTCGTGTCCAATTAAAGATAACAGGAAAATATGAAGATTAAGGAATGGAGACATCAGACAGATAGGCAAAGACATAAAATGTAAAAAAAGCAGGACACTTAAGAGGAAAGAATGTGCTACTCACCCATAATGAGGATAAACCAATCCTTGTTGATAGCTGTAAGAAGGTGGTTGCTGATAGCCAAAACCTCCAACATAGGCACCTCGGGACGTTGGCAAATTTCCAATGTAAGCTGGAGCTGGCCTTAACCGTCCTGCAAAAGATAGAAGAAACGACAATGGCATAAAAGTAACTGATATAAAGGTGTGAACTGGACTACTTGCATAATTAACAGATACCATAAGTTAGGGAAAGAGAATAATGTTTGTCTTGTTAGTGTAACTATTCGAGCAAGACAGACAAAATTGCTAAAAATAGGGAAGCACAAACAGAAAGTGCACAACACCATGTCAAAATTGGATTTCAACACCCTTCAAAATTACAATAAAATAATAAATTAGAAATGACAAAAGTCCAGCCTACAAAAACCACCAAGATCGTAAATACATGGGCAGTGGGTAATGGGTTTATGTATTGTGCATTGCGAACAGAATTGGAGCGTTCAAACTTTCAAATTAATGGTAAGGTACAATGCAATGAAATCTGCCTGATTTATGTCCATGGTGCGGTGCCAGTAGAACACTGCTCCTAAGAACATTAAATGATGCACAGAATCAATTCGTAGTATCTTACCGAACAATCACAACATAAATGGCAGAAAATGAAGCAAAGGTATTTTAATTAGAGGTGGGAAGTATACCAAATGGTGGAGGAGGCCACGGTCGTCCAAGTGAAGCCAAGTTACAATTGGCCCTCCTTCCATCAATGACAGGAGTTGGATCGGCACAGGCTCTTCTAGCAGCCTCAGGATCCCGGAAAGTCACCTATACCCTCCATGCAAGTCAGAATAGAAATCAAGTCATTCTAAAGTGAGGTGACATGCATTAATCACGACATACTAACTCGGTGAGGAATGATTAAATGAACTAACACATGCAATGACGCAAATGATGACGAGCTTTGAAAGCGTCAGAAATAATTGAAATCAAACATGGGATCATCAAAATTTCATGCGTCTAGTATATAGATGTAAGCACTGGAAACGTAAGGAAAAACGAACGCTTAAACTGAAAATAAATGAAGTACTCACAAAACCATAGCCTTTGGATCGGCCTGTATTCCTATCAGTGATTACAACAGCTTCAAGAATGTCGCCAAACTGCTCAAAGTATCGGCGCATGGTTTCGCTCTGGGTCTCCCACGCCAATCCTCCAACAAATACCTTGGTAAAAGTGGTGTCACCAAAAGGGGAGCTTATTGATTGAAATCCAGAACTTGAATTGGATCCAGGCGTGGGCGTATGACCCTGGATCTGGTGGTACGCCATGAATGACACAAAGGAAAGCAGTAAATACAGAAGCAGTATTGAGATTGCTAAGGATAGAGATTCCCTAAGCAGAAAGGTAAAGGAGGAGTGGATGGACACGTAACCACATGCTAAAAGAGAGAAAATGCGGAAGAAATATGCTGGGGATCCCAGGGGCCTGAGAAAATTGGAAGGTGGACGGAAAAGAAGAGATCAAAGAGAACTACAGTGAAATGAACAAGGCCAGGGGTATAAAATGAAGACTAGAAGGTAGATACTCGACAGAAAGGTATTCGAGAAAGAATTAAAAAAAAAAAATTGAATACAGGAGAAATAAAACAAAACCCTAAAATTGATGATTTGATGAGGTGGGGAAGAAGAAGAGGTAAAAATAAGTAGGTGATGAGAAAAGATGACACACAGAGAGGGGTTGGAGAGGTTGAAAAGATGTGATCACTGACTTGACAGTAGCATAACAGAAATTAAAGACGAAACAAGTACCAGAAAAAGAGGTTGACGAAGGAAGAGGACAACGTTCTAGTTATTGTAAAGAGGAAGAGGATTAAGAAGATGGTAAAGAGCAAGCGAGATGACCAGTACGGGATCGCATGGATTTCGAAAGAGGCTCATTTTTATTTTGCAGAGGATGAGAACGACGAGCCCAGAGACGAAGATGGCAAGAGGGACACCGCATTTAGAAACCCTTCTCGCACAGTGGAATAAGTTATTTTCCTCCTAATAAATTTGTGCATAGTAAGTGATAAACATAAACATATGAGTAGGATGCGCAACGTAGATGGCAGATTCTTCCTCATGTTTGGTTCTTTACGTTATTTATGTCTCTGTCAATCAAATTAATCTAATAATATTTTTTTTTGCCAGCCTAATAATGTAAGTTATACAATATTACTTTAATTTTGCTATCTGAACCCCCCCCCTCGAGTGATGAAAAATGCTCACTCTTTTCGTAGAAGTATAATGTATTGGTTATACATTAATTGATAAGATATGGTCAGATTATTATGCAATAAATTTCATGTACTATGGTATTTTATTTACGTAACAGTGTTGAAATAGTAAAAATATTTGATAAAAATAAGTAATAAAATATGAGACCTAACTAGATAACTTGATATTGATATTGCTTATCTGGCAAAAAAGATATTTATATTATTTAATTCAGGACAGTTATGGTTACATAAAATATGTTGGTAAAAAAACAGAGGGGGAAAATAAAAAAAGGGTCACGTAATAATAAATTTGATGTCTTTCGGCGAGAAAAATATTCTCTAGTCTTAAATATAAAACTATTTTGTAATGTAATTTACACTACAAAAAAGTTTTATATTTAAACTGAGGATAAAAATTTGGGTAATTTTCATTGCTCTCCGGACATGAACTTCATTTGTGTTCCTGTCCTTAAGATACCCTCTCCATTTATGAGATATGTTCGTGAAGAAATGAAGAAAATTAGCGGTGATCCAAAATAAAAAATACGAATATTAAACTGTGATTAAAAAGCATAAATCACGGTTAGAGAAGTTAATATTAATTATATTTTACCAAAAAAAAATATTAATTATAAAATTTATTAAAAAAAATTGTATCATTCAAAGGTTAAATATGTGAAAATGCTTTTTTTGATTTATTTTGCTGTAATACAGATAAATGTGCCTAGTCATGATTTGCTTTTCAATGCCTGGTTTCTTTTAAGCAGGCATAGTCACCCCAAATTTATTTTTTTTCCTTTTCCCAGAGATAGTCACCCAAGCTATTAATTACAAAGAAATCAAAATATTATCACATGCCTTGGCGTAAAAAAAAAATATATCACGTGACATTAGAGTATTTTAACATTTGGTATTTTAAAAATTGGACCGCCGTAATTAATCAAAACATATGAGTATATCTTGTTTGGGAAAATTACTCTGACACGTATAACAGGAAGCTAAAAATACAAGTAAATCTCGTGAAATACGTAAATAGTTTTTATGAGTAAATAAATTTTTGAGCTCGGTTATTAAATATCCCTGTATATATCTATATATTAAAAGAAATTTAATCCTTAACTTCGAGGAGGGGGGGTTTAGTGAGAATAAAACCTGATATTACTTATTTCTCAAAATCTCAGAAGGATTGCTAATCACCTGGCAACTTTGGGAAACAAGTGTTATTGACCCCTGCTCTGGCCAATATTTATCCTTTTCCCAGGTTAATCAACTTGACGATATTAATTTTAAAATAATATCAAGCTCAAATTTCTTAGATTCATCATAATTGAAACATTTTAAAAGACTATATTGTGATCAATATTTATTCAAAAGTTTATTGTAAGTATTTTAGAAACATAAAGATACTAGTTTAGAATTGAAACCTGTTAATTATGCAACTAAGCATATTAATTTTTAATATTGTATTATGGCTATGCTTTATTCAAAGACTACATGTATCATGAAAACAAAAAGGTTATTTTTAAAATTAAAATATGTTAATTGTAAAATAAAACATGTTAATTTAAAATTTTTTTCTCTTATAGGTTCTAATTAAAAGGGCATTATAGTTATTTTCCAAGATTTTAAAATTATTTATTAAGTCACGTGATTTAATTAAGAGCCTGACAAATTTAATGACTAAATAAGAATTTGGGTTATTTAAGTTTTTTTTAGGGATTCTCTCTAAAATAAATACACAAATAAAATGATGTTTATATGTAATATTGTAATATAAGTATTCATGAACGTGGGAATCATTTATCGTCTTTTATGAATTTATGAAAAATAAAAAATAAATCATAATGAAAAAAAATTATCCAATAAAAGGAGACTGCCTTCTGACAAATTTAAATAGCCGTTCCCTTGTGATGCATTTCAAAGGGTCGAGGTCGCCGTGTTTCGCATTATTAATTCATTAGCACCGTGTGCAGCTGCCGCCATTCAATTATCCCCAAAATTTACAAAGCGTTTTGGATTCTGGGACTTTCTCCTCGACCAGTTAGGGTTTTTGAACCCAAGAAAATTTCAGGGATGAGGAAGGCCTTCGGATCTTCATTTTTCTAATTTCTTGACTCCTCCGAGAAAACCATTCTTCGAGATCCCAGTAGGTTGAAAGTCGTCGACTATGGCCGAGCACTTGGCTTCAATCTTTGGCACTGAGAAGGACCGCGTCAACTGCCCCTTCTACTTTAAGATCGGGGCCTGTCGTCATGGCGATCGGTGTTCTCGACTACACAATCGCCCCACTATTTCGCCAACCCTTCTTTTGTCGAACATGTACCAGCGCCCTGACATGATCACTCCGGGCGTTGATGCACAGGGCCAACCTATAGATCCACGCAAGATCCAGGAACACTTCGAGGACTTCTACGAGGATATTTTTGAAGAGCTCAGCAAATTCGGGGAGATCGAGAGTCTTAATGTCTGCGATAACCTTGCCGACCACATGATCGGCAACGTTTATGTCCAGTTTAAAGAAGAGGACCAGGCTGCTGCAGCATTACAGGCTTTGCAAGGGCGTTTTTATTCTGGCCGACCCATCATTGCTGATTTCTCACCCGTGACTGATTTCCGGGAAGCCACTTGTCGTCAATTTGAGGAAAACAATTGTAATCGCGGTGGATATTGCAATTTCATGCATGTAAAATTGATTGGAAGGGAGTTGAGGAGGAAACTGTTCGGGAGATATCGTGGGTACCGAGGAAGTAGAAGTCGGAGCAGAAGTTTGAGCCCGCGTCAGAGGCGGGACTATGATAGACGTGAACGCGAGAGAAGTTCTCGTGACCGTGATTATCGTGGAAATGGACGACGGAGCAAGGACAGGTATGACAGGTACGATCATGACAGTGGGAGGCGAAAACATGGAAGTCCATGGAAGAGTAGGAGCCCAGTGAGGGAAGGGAGTGAGGAACGCAGAGCTAGGATCGAGCAATGGAATCGAGAAAGGGAGGAGAAAAATTGATTTGCACATGCTTCTGGACACCTCACAATATTTTACGTGTCCCTTCTGGTAATCATTCTAGGATTATGTCTCTTATGAGTATTTTGAACACATAATGGACAATTCCGAAGCTTGCATTATCATGGTTATGTTTCAGTGTCTGTCCAAGTAGACGTGTAGCTGTATTAAACTTCTAGTTATGTAGGAGTGCATCGCATTGTTCCCTGTCCTTCTGATGTTGTTCCATGCTTTGGGTAATATTCTACGAGTTTCATATGTATGAGATTTAGTTCATATGAACTCATAAATATGCTAATGTGGGTATTACTGGATTGCTCATCTTGGTCTCATTAATTATATGACCAACTTTGCTAGTATATCTTTCCATTGATTTCTTCAAACTAGGACGACCATCATCACATGCGAAACTAATTTTCTAGCACCGGTTGCCTTTTGAGCGGACTAAACTGCAACTGTAACAAGCAACATCTAACAAACATAAAATTTAAAATTCATGGAAAAGTTAGTAGGGCGGTGGCCAGGGCCCCTACCGGTCCCCTGCCTTTGTCAGTGGCTGAATCTGAGCTGACTTAATTGTACCTTACCTGCTTCATGTGATTGGAAACTTGTTTTGCCTGGTAATTGGACTGCTAAGCATACACAGGCAAAGGTGGAGCCTGTTGAAGTGTAATTTTTGTCGATTGAAACTTTGAAATGCACCAAGAAGTGGGGTTATGTTCAGTATTTCAGTCCTATTTGTTCATTGTTGGAGAGTTCCCTGTCACTTTTTTTTTTTGGAAGTTACAAATAGGAATTCAGAAAAAAACGCACAACCGATAGTGAGGCAGGCAATTATGTTTCTGCTTAACATGATCCATTTGATGCTTTTATGAACATGTTGTTCAGATCATACATAGTGTAATGGAAATTTTGTTGAAGACAATTGAAAGCTGGTAATTGTTGATAGCTTTTTCCAAACTACTTGACAGCTTGGCCTGGATCTGGTTTTTGGTTATGCTACAAGGGACATAAGAAGTAACACATCTCCGGTGGCATTTGCCTTTTATTTTGTACACTTGTCTTTGTATGTCTTTCCACAGCCATTTGTGCAAAAGGGTTTTAAAAAAAAAAAAAAAAGGACCTCTGGTCGCATTTGGATGGAAGCCTTTGCATTTATGGGAAACTGACCCATAAAAACTTGCTTGTGACATGTGAGGGGGGAAAAATGTTACCTTTATGCCACAAGAATTAGTTGTCGCTACCCAATGCAAAACTGATTTTGTCAGAACTTCTTTTAAGAAATTAGTCAATGCTGCCCTATTGATATATTTTTCTCATGTTATGTCCTACCTGCATTTTGTCTTTTAGTCTGCAGTTTTCTGACTGTGACTAGTGCACAACCAGCTAAGAGGGAAGGGATTCCAACGTTTTGATGGTAAATTAACCCAAGTTTCTCCTAGCCATAGCATAATTTCAATATTCTTTTAGTTCCCACTTCCGGGCACAAGAGTAACTGAGCAAATAAGAATTGGAATGCCTTTGCCCTTTTTGCACCTGACGTTTAGCTTGCATCTCGTAAACAGTTATGTTGTTGGAACACCTAGAAGCGTTCTAAAGATTTGTATTCGCTCTGGGTTGGCTATGTCAATTAGCTCCAGAATCTAACTCTTTATTTTTATTTTTTAAAAGAAAAATCCTTTAGTAGCTATATCCTTATTGATTATAGCCCTTCCCTTGCCCTTTCCTTTCCGCCCCCCTTCCTACTGTTTGTACTGCTATGTGATATGTGGCTGTTATTTGCATGTCTTTTCCCTTGCTGGTTTGGGACTAGGTTATAGGTCATGCTGGTGCAGCTGCTGTTCTTGGGATTTGGGAGTTGTGGTTCAATGATTAACAAGGTTGGAACCTGGGGCTTAAGTGAATATTGAAAAATTGCAAGGTTCCATAGTTTTTCAGTACATATAATCTCTATGCAGGAGATCCTTAGCTTCACGTTCTGGTTCAGCCTGGATCGCTAGGTGACACCTGTTACTTTAATAACGTGCGTTTGGTGTTACTTCAGCATTTGAGCATATAAACGCATGTCTGGGAGCAATAGCTAATGCAGTACAGATTCCAGGTTGATAATTTCTTATTTGTTGTCGTCATTTGATTTCTGTTAGTTTATGATGGTGCCTGGACTCTTGAGATCTAACAGGGGGCAATATGGCTTCCTATTATTTTACAGTACTCCGAACTGTAGGTAATTTAGTCATGCGGCATCACGCTGATGTTTGTTAGACTCCTAATCCTTGTCAATTTGGTAACAGAGGATTATTAGTATTTGAAGCAGCAGTTCATAGGCATCCGAAACCTGAGCGTAGTCCGGAATAATAGTACAAATAGTACATTTGAGGAGCAGTGTTATGTTCCTAGTCCTTGTTAGGATACTTGCTGTCACAGCTGAATTTGCCTTATTTCTTGTTCAAGAGATGCCGAAGGGTTTAATCGCCAAAATGGATGTAAAGCCGGTCTTCCTATTGTTCCTAGTTTCAATTCCGAATGATATATGGAACTAGCAAGGCGTGGAGTGGCGTCTAGCCCGCCACATTCTATGGTCGTCTATGAGACGTCTCCACTATGGGAACTTTAGGAAGGCTTTTAATTATACGTTTCCTGCCTAAAAGCATGGAAAGTTCTTGAAGACTCATTGACTCGCGCGACTTCAGACTGCATTATTGGTACAGAATTAGCAAAGCTGAGGCCTCCTTTAAAATTTCCACGGGGTTGTACCTATTAGTGATTTGTTCGTTATTAAAGAACCGGTATCCTTCTACAGGACTAATTGAGGATATGTAGCTATATTTTATTGTTTGTAAAAATTTTTGTAAATGGTGAATTTGAGTATATAATTTTTCCATAATTGATTTTCAGTTTGAGACTTGAATATACCTTGATTATTCTTCTCAAACATACTGCGTACGAATTAAAGATAGTGAGCGTCTAATATGGTTCCAGGATAAACCCCCCCCCCCCCCGGTTAAACTTCAAAATTCAAATCAAATCCTCACAGTAGTATGGGCTGGCCCATTGCCTGATAAATTCTGCCGGGCTAGGAGAAAATAGAGGCTTGAGGCCACTTGGGTTAGCCTGAGTTAGCCCAAAAAGGAAAGGCTTCTTAAATGTTAAATCTTTCTTTGTCAATAGGATTGGGTCAAGTGAAAGGGTTAATTTCTGGATTCCTATTAGGGAATGTATCTATATTTAGTATATAACAATGTCCTGAATGAGATTATCTCGGGAGATACATGTGTCTAGCCAAAAAAAAAAAAAAAAAAACTTCCTTCTTTGTAAATAAAGAGTTGGCTCATGAAAGTCAGCATACTTTAAAGCTCAATGGACGTTTGCAAATTAGTCAGTAGAATTCGAATTCATAACTATACGAGTCACCAACATGGTGGATGAAAAGTTCCAGCAATATTCGAGATTTCAAGTCTTAAAGACAAGAACCCCAAAGCTAGTTGGAGAGACGCAAACGGTGTGGTCCCACAATTAATTTCCTACCTGGTACCCGCAATCACAATGTGCAAGCATGTTTTACCATCATTTCAGCAGTTGCAGGCTTGCCTATCCTTTTCCACTGTGTCTGGAACCAAAACCCCTTGTGTTCAGTGACACTAAGAGAGCTAACTTCGCTTCTACTGGATCCTGTATTCTTTTTAATTCATCTGTGTATGTATGTCCACTACAACTTGAACTAAATATCGGGTCGCTTACACACACATACTTATGGATAGGTTTTTTTTTTAAAATTAAAAACAATCTTATTTGAAACATTGTCGGACATTAAATATAGCCACTTCTTTTAATTGAAATTTGAACTTTGGGTCATCATGTTATGAGGGACTAGTTCTTTTCATTAGACTTAACTTTTGCTTATTATTATATCTCTTATATATATGTGGCCAACGTTTTCTTGTATTTGCGAACATGGCCAGCTTTTCAAGTTTCAATGAGTGGTCCAGACACTTGGCACGTAGTTAATATGCCATCTTTTCAACCACGGACATTATTTCGGTTGCTAAGGTTTATCTGAATTTACAGAGGTGGGGAACTGGGAATTTGAGTTTTTGCTGTCAATATGGAAATTTCACTGGTCTCGTTGTTTGTAAGGTTGATTGCAAGTATTTTTTAAAACTGCGAGACTTATTCTAGAAAGCTTCGAAATTCATCAGATTAATACTCTTGTAATAGAAAAAAGTGCATGTGTGTGTGTAATATTTATGGATGGCGCAATAGATTGCGTCAGCTAACATATTGACCTTTCATGAATAGTCGAGGTCTCCAGGAGGGTTGTCTCTTGGCTCTTTCCTGGCCGCCTGTCACCCATATACGTCATTGCTTGGGCTTTAGATGGTTTTTCCCAACCTCTTGTTTGTAGTCTTGGAAGAGACGTTGTCTGTCTTTTCTATTTTTCACGAGAGTTCTTCCTCTTATCTTTTATTAATACAAAATGGTTTTTTACAGCAGTAAAATGTAATTTTTACACTGATTTTGTAATAATCGTATAGATATAGCCGACTTATAGAGACTTGCTATATACTAATTAATAGCCTTTATTTATATATACAGTATATATTTTAGATCAAATGGGGTTCAAGCTCAACTAACCTGAGGACATAATACTTAAACAGCTCCTTTTAGGAAATACTAATGTTGGGCAGGGTGAAATTACATTATACCTTTAGGCATTGACCTAAGCACCCCATTCTAGTATATCTTCCCAAGTGTTAGTCAGCAAGCCTAATAGTCAAATGGGGAATCGAATCCCCGAACCTGTGAATGATGGGTTAGTCAACAAGCCTAATAGTCAAATTCTTGTTCTACAAACACCAACACAGCCCTGGTTTTTTCTTTCGGGTCTGGCCCCATCCTCCTTTGAAGTCACTTTGAAAAAATTGTATTATAAAAAATTGTACCATTATATCAAAATAAAAAAAAAATTGTACCAAAAAATAAAATAATAAAAAAGGCGCCCCTGCTTTCTCCACCTGAGCATTATAATTATAATGACTGTAATATCTTTTGCCCACATAATCATTACGGGGAAAATTTCAAAAAAAAAAAAAAGAAATTGCCATTTCCTAATTCAGGCAGCTAAGAGTTAAAAATGACAAAGAAGAAAATTGCACTTGATCTGATATTTTGCAAATATAATTAAATGATTAAAATGTCCTTGTATCGTATTTGAAAAAAAAAAGCTATTAAATTTATTATTACTAATATATTTTTGTCATTAGTTGTTCAACACTTGTTATTATCATTTTACAACTTGTTAATAAATAATTTTTCATTAACAATACATTTTTTCTCATTTGATATTCAACACTTGTCATTTGCTAGTTTAGAACATATTAATAAACTTTTTTATATAAAAATATTTCAGTCATTTAATTATATTTGCAAAATACTATATCAGGCACAACTTTCTTCTTTATCATTTTCAACTTTTAGGTGCCTAATTTAAAATATCACATTTTTAGCTTTCTTATTTGTCATTCTCCCATGATTATAATATCAAGAGAAATAGAAGTGCAAACTGTTTTTTTAAGCAAAAAAATCGAAGTGCAAACTTTGAAAAAAAAAAAAAGAAGGGAAAATAAAGAAGAGGAACTTGCTTCAAAACCAAGTCAGGCTGCTGGGTCCCATGGGAATTACGGGAGACCCCATCCTTTTTTTTTTTTTCCGGGGACCAATTACTGGATTCCCCATCTTAACCATGGACCCTGGCATATTCTCATGAATGTGCCGGATGAATTTTCCGAGGTAAATTTCGTGGGTCTGGAAGCTTGAGCTTTGAATCTAAAAAAGCAAGATGGTGATAGTAAAACCCACAATTTTGGATTCTCTCCGCTGAAACTGATTATCTTTCTTCCGAGAAAAAACAAATATAAAATAAAAAAAAATTATTCAAACATCCTTCGAAGTTTCCAATTTGACGTTGTCAAAAAATTGCTCAACAGTAAATTGGAACGGTGATTCCGTTCAACACCAGTTTGCGGGAAAATGAGGGAAAATGTTGTTGGACTAAAACGGGGGCGTTTAAGACAGTGGGCTTAATTGGGGTAGGTTGGGTTGGTTTCCGGCATCTATCTTGCTCGTCTGGGTCATTTTCCGCGTGTAAGCCTAAAAGGAATAGAATAATATTTAATATAAATACTACAGGGGGAGGGATGAAGCCGAAGGTCAAGCCAACTAACAGTAGCAGTAAAGAGTAGCTCAGACTCGGGAAGGTCAGTATACCAGTTCGCTTCTTCATGGATTCCGATTACGGTATTCCCAGAGAACTCTCCGATCTTCAGAAGCTCAGATCTCTCTACCACCCACAGCTCCCTCCCTGCCTCCAGGTTCTCTCTCGCTGCTCTTCTTTCCCTTTTCGCTTGTTTCCCTTTCTAGCATCTTTCCTTTTTATTTCTTTTTACGCGATCTGACAATCGGCATCTTTATTCTCTATCTTTCTCCTTGGTCTTTTCTTGACATTTAATATGATTTTGCCTTGGATCTTTTCTCATGGTTGGTGGTTTTATTTAGAATATTTGATTAGATCGCATTTGTATCCTTATTATATGATTTTTCCTGCAAAAAGTAAGTTCTATTGTCATTGATTTCATTTACGGTGGAACTCATTTCTTTCCTGGCCATTGTTTTTACGTTTTGAATGATCATACTGTGGTATATTCCTTTTCTTTTCCCAGTCCTCTTGCATGCACTCATCGCTTCCTTGCACTTTGCATTGGCATACTTTACCCTTTTTTTTTTTCACTCAATCATTTATTTCGTTATTGTTCACATTTCGAGTTTTGACCTGTGCATTATGCAACTACTCTGTTCCCTTTGATTTTCTGTTTCCGTTGGTGAGAAATGCTAGATAATGTAAGCCGGCTTTTTTATTTCAGTTGATTGTATACGCATAGGAGGCTCTGCTTTTGTTCATGGAATCGAATAAGACTTTTCGTTTTGTGCTAAAAGCTTAACATAAATGGGCCTAAATGATCTTATTATGCAGGGAACCACTGTCAGGGTTGAATTTGGTGATACAACTACAACTGCAGACCCAGTTGATGCCCATACTATTAGCCGCTCATTCCCGCACACTTATGGGCAGCCCTTGGCACACTTTCTCAGGGCCACTGCAAAAGTCCCTGATGCCCAGATTATAACCGAGCATCCAGCTATTAGGTCAACATCTATTCATCATTCTGATAGTCCTTGTGGTTCTTTTTCATAGTTTTCACCATGGCATTGCTAGATGACTGATATCCAGTTATTCAAAGTATGCATATTTGCTGATGCTCATATGCTTCATCTGTTTTGTCTTACATATTATATTATTACAGAGTGGGAATAGTTTTTTGCGGGAGACAATCTCCTGGAGGGCACAACGTTATTTGGGGTCTTTATTATGCTCTCAAAATTCACAATCCCAACAATGTCTTGATTGGATTTCTTGGTAAGCTTTATAGTTGGTTTTAAACTATTTATCTTGAATTGGAAGTCGTAATCTTGTTTCAGTTATTTTGTTTCTTATATAAAATGTTGTATAGTATGTATTTTCTTGTTCTTCTTCTTCGTTACCTCTTTATTCAACTGGTATTTTTTCCTGCTGTCTCAAATTTTCCTTTTGCCGTTTGGTTTTAGAAATATTAATTCTGACTTGGATGGAGGTTTATGGATTAGGATTGCATGACTGAACGAGTAGCATAACGTCCTACTTCCAATGGAAAAAGAATTTCAATGCCATGGTTGCTAGTCTCTCTTGCATCTTGAATTTGCACAAGGGAGAGGAAGAGATACTGTGCGAGCTATAGGAATCCAAGAGACACCAACTGATAGGGAACTAACATTTAGAGAAAACTTGATAGGTCACAGAATCTTGGGCTAGCTTTTAAGGCCTCTTGTACATTCTAATTGGATTATGATAGGATCCACATTGGGTGGCCATTAATATTTCCTATGGTTCTAGTGGCTTGGTTTACCCCCCTTACAAGCTGGTTTTTAGGAGTGGGTTCTCTTTACTTGCTCAGTTCTCTGTCGATCAGTAATGTGGGACTACATCTGATTGCTGAGATTTTAGCCTTACTTTCGAGATTTCAATCCCGCTTTCAGCCCGATCCTGCGGAAATTTTTTAGGAACTGGATAGGTGCTTGATTTGGAAACTTCAGATTACACAATTCTATAATCATAATTCCTATTTGATTATTACGTTCTGAATATGTGTTTTAAATAGATATACAAGAATAGGCAGTGTTTCTTGAATTAATATTTTAATTGAATATGGGACAGGACCCATCATTTATTGAAAGATCTATGTTGTGCTTTGTAAACTTGAAACTAAGTCTAGAATTTATCTAGTTCCATCACATTTCTGGTGATTGTTGAAATCTGGGATCAAATTTCAGGATTTTAGATGGTATTGATTTATAATTTTTCCTTTTTGTTCACTTCAAGTATGATAGATATATCATTAGACCTTATTGTTGAATGCAATAAATTAAACTTGTGGTAAAATTTCTCATAAAGTTGTCATGCACTCCTTTCACTCTGCAGGTGGTTCAGATGGTCTATTTGCCCAGAAAACTCTTGAGATAACTGATGAGATTCTTTCAACGTGCAAAAACCAAGGTAGATGGTGGTAAACTGAAGTCATTTTAATTAGTTATTATATATTACATTGGAAATTAATTATATTCTTATTGTTGTGGTTCTTTAAGGTGGTTATGATTTGTTGGGACGAACAAAAGATCAAATTAGAACGAAAGAACAAGTTAATGCTGCACTTGCTACATGCAATAATTTGAAACTTGACGGACTTGTCATAATTGGGGGTAAAGCTGATTTTCCTGAACTTTCATTTATGGTTGCCATTCCATCTTGAACAGAAGTTCTTAATCATTTAAATCTATAATTTTTTAGGGGTGACATCAAATACAGATGCTGCTCAGCTTGCAGAAACATTTGCTGAAGCAAAATGCCCAACAAAGGTATGCCAATAGTTCTGGATTTTTCATTTTATTCACACGGATGCAAATTTATTTCTGAAGCTAGGGATTATTTCTTTGTAATTAATTAGTTCTATAGTCTTTCTGTTCTTTATAAAGTGTAGTTGAAATTCAGTGCACAATTTCCGCATTCATTTATTGATTATCTTAATTGGAATTCTGCAGGTGGTTGGCGCTCCCGTAACTTTGAATGGAGATCTTAAAAACCAGTTCCTGGAAACTACAGTCGGTTTTGATACGATATGCAAGGTATTTCGTCAATCATGGCTAGATCTAGATGTTAAGTTTAAAAATGATTCTAAGCATTAAAATGTGAATAGAACTGAAGAAACTTGCTTCTCTGACAAGATTATGCTGTCTTCCGTGTTACTTCTGGCTGTAATTGCTTTTCTTTGGAGTGTGGTAAATTTCACTCTGCATCAGCATATGATGCTTTCTCTTTGTGTTTTATGCCACCTTTTCTTTCTATATGTTAATTGAAACATATAAAACACAGACATCGAAGCTATTTTATTTTTTTTAAATGTTATAGTGCCTAATTGGGAATCTACTGGAGAGAAGCATGCACAAATATGGATTATTTTTAAATATTTATTGGACCATTGTGTGTTCAGGTTGTCTACTGCTCGCCATGTTAATGGTAGAAGTTTATGTTCTCATGAGGGCTCTATTACTTCCCCATCCTTTAACAATAAAAAAAGAAAGAAAAAAATTTGCGCTATTGCAGTATATATGGGCCATTGCAATATAGTATATGGTTCATTCATTCTGTGAAATAACGAGCATTGAAACCCTGTAAAACTTCTCCTTTTCTCCTCTCTCAGGTGAATTCTCAGCTCATCAGCAATGTCTGCACTGATGCGCTCTCTGCCGAGAAGGTAACAAATCAATTGCCTTTTCCAGTTTTGTCTGTTATTATTTCCATCTCATAGGCTGTGTTTCTTTGTTTGAACTGTTTGAACCTGTGTCAAGGGAAATCTTGCTTAGCACGTTAGAAGCTGTAGCCATGACTTGTGAGCCCGGGACTGCTAGCTAAATTTCCATTAACCCTGCTTACCTTAGTGAAACCTGGGTGATTGTCCTGTGAAAATATTTGAGTTCCTTTTTACTGCTGTTTGTGTGTTGGGCCTGTTATTGAAGAAATAAGGGGAAAGATGTGAACGTTGGGCTTGATTAGAGTAATCATAAAAATATGCATGTGGGTGTTGATGAAGTGAGAGATGATAACTGGGATGGTCGTTGGTGCAGAAATAAAATTGGAGGTGGAGTAACTTCGCCAGACATGGGATAGAAGAGAGAGAAAGTGAGGCTATTTGTACCGGAATAGAAAATCTCTAGGCTGAGAGAAGTGTGAAATGTCTGGGAATTGGTTTGGAGCGACCAGTTATCTCAAATTAGAGGGAGTTTCAAATATCAGTACTTGATACTTAGAATGCCTGTAGGTTTCTATCAATGTGTGTGTAATCATTGTGTGTACATTTCTGACCTGATTTTACTTTTCCAGTATTACTATTTCATCCGTCTCATGGGCCGCAAGGCATCGCATGTTGCTCTGGAGTGCACCCTGCAGTCCCATCCAAATATGGAAAGTATCGTTATCTCACATCATTTAAGTCTGATGTTGATGTAGTTTCTGATGGTAAAATTTTACTTGGCATGCTCTATGCAGGTAATTCTTGGTGAAGAGGTTGCCGCTTCAAAACTTACCCTTTTTGATATTACAAAACAAATTACTGATGCAGTTCAGGCCAGAGCAGAGCATGGTTTGCATTTTCTGGTTTCTCCTGTCAGTTTTTGGTTTTCTTTTATACACCATCTCATACTTGCGTTTTTGCTCCAGACAAGTATCATGGAGTCATCCTACTGCCAGAAGGGCTAATAGAGAGCATTCCTGAAGTGTATGCACTCCTAAAGGTAAATCCACATCACAATAAAAAGACAAAGAAACTCTCATTATGAACATGTGATAAAAATAGTATTGAATCTTTGTTTATATTTCTGTCTCCACAGACTCTTGGAGACCATTAAAGAATCAGTGACTTTTTCATTTTCTTTTTGAAGCAAAAATTACAGCTTTTCTTGTCTTGTGGTAGAGGATGGACCCTTAATCAGTTTTTGCTAACGCCTTCTTTAATTTAGGAAATTCATAGTCTACTCAGACAAGGTGTAGCTGTTGACAACATATCTTCTCAGCTTTCACCATGGGCATCTGCTTTGTTTGAATTTATGCCCCCCTTTATTAGGAAACAGGTTGACTCATTTTTTGGGGTTGAATACTGGCTGTTAATTAGTTGCTTTTGTGAGTAGTAAGAGGGTGAATCTGACTTTGATCTATAATTCTGTAGCTGCTCCTATATCCAGAATCAGATGACTCTGCACAGTTGTCCCAGGTAATTGCAGTTGGATTCTTTGTTCACATGCATTGCTTCTAACTTTGCTGGTCTTTAGTTCCTTTATTTGAACAAATTGACGTGCAGATTGAGACTGAAAAACTACTGGCATATCTTGTGGAGGGAGAGATAAACAAGCGTGCGGTATGGTTGCTGGATCTGTTCTTCATCCTGTCATTAATTCTCTTTACGTGACTTAACTGGTTTCTCAACCTTTTTTTTTGGCACTCTTACAGTTTTTAATGTTTAAATTTATTATTCTATTTTTTTCTCCTTATTAAAATGCAGAATTTTATTGTAGTGGCGTAATCTTGCTAACAGATAGTAATAAGAAATAAATACTGAATAATTTCAGTCTAAGATTCATACAGCTAAACCATGTTCAAAGTAAGACTTGTGGGCCTGGGCCTATCATATCAGTTTCTTTTACCCTTACATTCACTAATAAATCTTTCTATTCTTTTGTTCCTAGTCAAGACTATCTTCAGAGTTTTCCTTCTTGTTCCTACTTGCATTGTAAAAAAGGAAGCATTTTCTCCTTGAATGGTAGATGTTTTTGTGGTTGGGATCTTATTGCTTTGACATCTTTGTTGAGTGTGTATGATGCACGGAACAAATTTGCATTACATTTGTTATTTCAATCTAGTGTGGTTCTTGCATTCTTCTTTAAAAGTGATGGGAAAAGCCCTCTTCTGCTTGGATTTTTATGTTACTTGTCAGAAACATAGGTTTGGGTTCCTTTTGCAGAAAGAAGGCACATATAAGGGAAAAAAGTTCAATGCCATCTGCCACTTTTTTGGTTACCAAGCCCGAGGTTCTCTGCCATCAAAATTTGATTGTGACTATGCATATGTATGTTGTTCAGGTTCCCTTCATTTGCTGCTTTTGGCATATTGTGTTAGTGGGTTGCCTATGTTGTTTGTGACTATTTTATATTATTGCAGGTTCTTGGGCACATCTGCTACCATATACTTGCAGCTGGTCTAAATGGCTACATGGCAACTGTTACCAACCTGAAGAATCCTGTAAACAAGTGGCGCTGTGGGGCTGCTCCAATCACAGTACTTCTTAATTCTTTTCTTATTCTTTGCTAGTATTTGATCCACGGTTCACAACTGTGGGGTAATTCATGATTTATTAGATTATACGAAATGCTTTCCGTGCTGGAGAATCTTTACTTGTTTTGTCTTTCATGTGATGCACTTTAGGCTATGATGACGGTGAAGCGTTGGTCGCCAAATCCTGGAGCTGTATCAATTGGAAAACCTGCTATTCATCCAGCCAATGTTGACTTGAGAGGCAAAGCATACGAGTAAGTCTCATTGTCATTCTGCGTTATGTTTATTTATAAGTGTGCTAGTATATGGTAATTGCAGGTTTCTAATCAGTTTCATTAGTATGTCTGTTACTTGGTTTGATTTCTTGGGAGTCATCATCTGGCTTACTCTGAGTCTTGGTCATGGTTGCAGGCTGTTGCTGCAGAACGCATCAAGATTTCTTATGGATGATATTTATAGAAATCCAGGTCCACTTCAGTTTGATGGTCCTGGTGCAGATGCCAAGGTTATCACGCTGTGCGTTGAAGATATGGACTATATGGGCCGCATTAAGAAACTTCAGGAGTACCTTGACAAGGTTCCAACTCTTTATCTTAACAGTCTGTTTGAGCCATTTAGGACAATTTATCATCCAAACGTTTGCAAAATAGTGAATTTTTTGACTGAATCAACGGACAGGGGACCCAAACCTCCTTGTGATGTGCTGTATTAGGGGCATGTCACTTTCCATAAATGATTATCAGTTCCTCTTTGGCATGATCTTATTTATTCTTCAGTTACATGTCTTTCTTTGATCGATAGATAATCTGTGTCTTTGTCATGCATTTACATCCAATGTGCTTCTCATGGGTTTCTCCTTGCCTCTTCAGGTTCGTACTATTGTAAAGCCTGGATGCCCTCAGGATGTTTTGAAAGCAGCTCTCAGTGTGATGTCTTCTGTTACAGAAGTTCTAACCACTATGTCTCAATCTTCTGTAAACAACATGGCATGACCCTTCATGAGTAGTATATGCACGATGTATTTTCTTTGAAAATTTTCCAGCATAATTGCCTTAGCTCTTTTATTTTATTATGTTTTTATAGTAGGCCTAGAGGTTGGTGGTAATAAAGATTTAGATCTGATACATTGGGTGTATTTCAATGTCAAAGTTTTGAATTCTTTCCGTAATTGTAAGCGGGATCCTAGACCTAAGAGTTCCGTGTGGCATTTTTTGGAAATTTGGTTTAGCTTGGTGACTCTGATTATTTCTCCCGTCGTCACCCCAAAAGAATTTCAGTGTTCGTTAATCCTTATTCATCGTAATCTTCGGCCAAAATAACAAGGTAAATCAGGAATTTTAAAAACATCCCAATTTGATGGGGAAACAAACCTTTATATAGGCTAAAGTTGGAATTATCTTCCAAATACTAACTCGTAGATAGAAACCCTTGGGTTTGAAAATAGGTGCTATTTTTATTATTATTATTATTTTAGAAAATAACGAACATTATCATTATCAATAAATTTATTTATAATTATAATTTTCTTATTCGAAGTTTATTTTTTCCCGTGAAAGAAGGAAAAGCGGGGTCGAGCCCTTTACGCGATCGTGATTATCCTTCCAGGTCTTTCTAGACCTTCACCATCTTTCCTTATGGGGGCTTTCAACTTTCCTTGGGAGGAGACTGCCAAATTCTTCGCTGTAAAGGCTGGTTAGGACACATCTTTGCCGCGCAGTCTGCGCATATGTTTACTTGTCAAACTCGGAAGTTGGTTCTCCGAGTTTAATGTTTTTATATTTTTAACTAACAAAATCGTATTGATTAGCTCTTAAACTTGTGATATCTATAAATTTGGTTAAACGTACGAGTTCATTTACTGAATTTATTGTTTTTGCGTTTTTAGCTTACAAAATCGTGTCAATTTGCTTTTAAACTCGTATTAAATTTTGTAATATAATTATGTTTAGTGACTTTATATATGAATTTTATAAAAATTTCTTTGTTGAATATAATAAATTATAAGCATTGATGGATATAATTTTAATTATTTAAATTTAAAATATATTTAAATAAAATTGTTCTCATTTTTATATCTTAATTATTTGATTATATATTTTTAATACCAGTTTATTAATAAAAATAAACTCTTATAAGTTTCATGATCTGAGTTTATATTATTATAACGAGTTTGTTTAAACTTTCAACTTTGCCAACCTTACATGAACACATGTCGAAATTGAACTGTCCATTCCCGCTGTAATATCTCCTTCATGCCTTGTCCCACCGCATAGCAATCTGTGATCAGCTTGTGACTGTTTATATCCTCATCGCAGTCAACTTGGAGACACAGCTTCAGACCTTCGCAAATCCCCTAAACTCCTGCATTTCTGGCGTTACTGTAGCCGAGTCTTCCAGAAAATCCTTGAAGCCACTCCCCACGGTAACCCCCTCCCCCCCGGCTCACTCCTCCCCAACAGCTTCCCCAGTACTCGAGCTTGGCTATTCTTTGATTGGTCTCTCAATATTCTGTGGTCTCTGAAATTCCTGTTGATGAATACGAGCATTCCTCCATTTTCATATAAACCAGCAGCCAATCGCAAACAGTTCTGGCCCTCTTCCGTGTTGTCGCTGTATTCCATGTTTAACTCTAACCAGCTCGGCCAATCTGCAAGTTGAAACATCCTGTCTCTCGCGTGGGGAACGAGCTTCTTCCATACCTGTACCACAAATGGACAATCGCGCAGAGCACGGAGTGTGGTTTCTTCGGATAGATCACAATTCACAGTAAACATTTCCTCCATCCCACTGCTTTGTTAAGCTTTCGGTGAGAATTCTGTTATTAAGAACCAGCCACATAAAGGTTCTCACCCTCGCTGGATTTCTCAGTTTCTAAATCAGTTTCGATTGGTTATGATTATCCTCCTCGTCCCCTCTTCGCAGCCAAGCGTAAGTACTTTCTTTTGTGAACTGACCATTTCCAGTTAGACGCCATTTGGGTGAGTTCTCTGGAGAATTCGTGGTCCCTTCTCCGGACTTCTCACCCTCTCTGTTGCTCTCTGGACAACGTGAGATCCTCTTCCACATGCGGCTTCTTCTTCTTCACTTTGGCTCACTCTGGGAGCTCAGCATATTTTATCAATTAACTATCAAATTTAATATGAGTAATGGCCAAAGACCACATTGTTATAGTTTGGAAACTTTTGGGATGATGTGAAAATTTTTAAAGTAAATTTGCACCTTAAAAAAAAAAAAGGTTATGAAGGACATATGGATCTGTTAGCTTATCATATTTAGTCACCTAACAGGCAAATTTAACCTATATATTAATTGTGTCAAAATTGCAACAATTTAAAAATTTTGGAAAGACATTGGAAAAAAAACAACTCTTTGGATACCTAATGATCCTACATAAAAACTTTCATGACAAATTTGGTCAAGTGAATTGTTAAGATAGTGAATATAAATATATAGTTGAAAAAAAGTTAATATTTTTTTCTTAAAAAACTATGACTTACTTCAAAATGCGCTCATATGTGTGTGTGTGTGGGGAATCAGTTGTGTTCAACTTCGAAAGTTTACAAGCAAATGAAATTGCAAGGTCTCAGGGTCACCCGCAATGATTCTACATTCTAAGAAAGGAGCTTTTGTCAAAAAGAAAGGAGCGTTTGACAGTATATACGGACGAGAAATAGACAAGAACTTTCTAATATAAAACATCATTCATGAATAGAGAATTTGTTGTATTATTTTGATATATAAATAATAAAAAGTAAGCACAAAAAACTTAAAAAAAGGCATTCTCCTTGGGCTTCTAATAATGAAAGTATTTGCAACATTTCAATATTAGTAGGAATTAACATCTTCCCCTTTTTCTAGTAAACACAAACTCTCTCTATGATAACAAAAGAAAACACTATTTTCCATAGCTCTCACTAACATATTGGTTGGAATTGTTGCATTATACTTCCAAATCTGCCCATCTCCCATCCGTATTATGATGTCATCATTCTTCCTTATACCTAATATGTGATAGGGAATTATTTTTGTTGCCATGGAGAAGATATTTGTCCATGACTTATGATCCCTAAATTGTTTCATAATCCACAGGGAATAAATGCAACGTGTTGCCTCATCAGTTTCATCATCATACATATACTTCTCTTGTATCAAGAGGAGAGAGTCTCCCGTAGTTTTGAGAGAACACACACTGTCAGGATCTGTGCCAAGAGTCTCAGGAAGTAACATTTGTCCAAACACTTCATGTGTCAAATCAAATGTAAGTATAAAGTGATAATTTTCTTTACTGTGTCCAGCTATCCAGTAAAGCATATCATCAAAGCATACGTGGAAGAATACGTAGGACGCACCAAAATGAATGAAACATGGAGGGATATCGCCTACAAGACATTTCCATGACCACGTGACATATGAGAAAACCCAAGCAGAATCAATCTGAGTATCAATCTGATTAATATCACGATGAACAAGGTGTACAATTTTAAAGTCATTGCTGCTACTATCAAAACCAAATCCTACATTGGATAGTCTTTCATCCCAAGCCATTGTGGGGGGGAGGCATATATATTTTCGAACGGTTGGATTCCAAAGAATGAATTTAAAAGATAGTCTATTGACAAGACATACCAAGCCATTGCTTACCCCTATCAGTCTTGTGTCTATAAAATCATCAGTGCTAGGAGTCTCCATTGTGCGAAACAAATCAAATTGGTCGTTATCCCAATGCAATGAATAGGTTACTTGAGTTACTGAGCTCTTTTTGTGGTGACAGACTTTAATCAGGAGGATTTGATTTCCGAAATCAAAAGTTCGGTTTAGGCTGCGAGATACGAAATTAGGACTAGTAAGAAGAACATTCCAGTACCTACAAACAAAGGCGCATTGAAACAGGCTTTGAGCATCTAGTTTGAGCAAAATTTCTTCGAGAACATGGGAAGGAATGAAAAGAATGTCGCCATTGGAGGCTGTGAGTTTTGCTTTCTTGGAAGCCGTCATGAGTTCGGCACCGTTGAGAGGAAGAAGAGGATATAACAATATCAAATATCAATGATTGATTAGATTGATGGGTGTGAGGCAGCTACGATTTGGGGTTTATGATGGGTTGTGCTATATATGGTTACTATTAATGGATATTAATTCATTTTATGTGAGCTTGAATTTCAACTGAACTTGAATCAAGACTGAAAAAAGAAGTGATACCTTTTATCGGATAGACATATTTTTGGTCATTTGGTATATTGTCTTTTATCTGTTAGTAACATCAATAATGCTATTTTTTTTATTATGCATTTTGTTTATTATTATGACTAATATATCATTTTTTAAGGAAAATATCATCATATGTATTGATAATTAAAAAAAAAAGGTTTATTATAAAGATCAACAACTTTTCTTTGCGAAAAAGATAAGGAATCTCGTAATCACGTCATATCATATCCATAATCTATATTTTCAACAGAATCCATCTATCATCTATCTTTATCAGCCTTATATACGATAGGTAATCTTTTACAAAATAATATTAGATAATTTTCTTTTCGAAATTTATTTTTTTGGCCAAGTAAAATGAAATTAATCAATAATTATTTTAAAGAAATCCTTTCAAATTCAAATTCAAATCATTTTAAATTTTTTGGTTTAGTTGATAAATATATCCCACTTTCAAGGGCCTGAAAAGATAAATATCTCATGGTAATTTTAAATATTAAAATTGAGAAGTGATATGAGAAAATTTCAATAAAAATACCTTTTGAATTTTTTTATTTCCAAAAGTGAGTCCAATTTGCAAAATGGGAGAATCCCATTTAAATCCATTTAAAATATTAAAATTTAAAATTAGGCTTTTATTTTGAATAAATTTCTAATGAGGCGAAAAGGCATAACTAAAGATTTATTAATGTTGTCAAAAATCTAAAATGTCTCTCTATACGTAGAATATGAGCTGTTACTTTGATATTTTTTTCCTTTACAAATTCTTTTCCTGAAATATGAAAATAATAAATTATAATATTATATCCTTAATTCACGTTAATAATTTCTCCAGCTCCCTAACAAATTTATAAAAAGTTTGTTGTCTGAATAAGTTTTCCACTCTTGAAAATATAGGTAGATTTTATTAAAAATATATCTGTGTTTATAAAATTTGTATGTGTGAATATAAAGTATATGGAGGATGGATCAATACTAAAATTGAATAGAAATATAATTAAACCCAGTCAAAATTAAAATCTAAACAGTAACCTACA